TAGTCAAATCACCACATGTTTACCTTTTCCTCCATCTGCCAACTCACCGGTAACTTGGGGAATATTCACTATGGATTTGACCAAAACTTTTGAGGTTATGTGGAAAAAACACACAAATCTGACTTGGCAAACTGAGGAAGGAAAAAATGTTTTAAAGTGGACCAACAATAATACAACTATATGGAACTGTAACATCACTAAGCCATCATTGAAATTTGAGACTAATAGTGACACGATTGAGAATCTTCCTCCTGAGGATACATGTACTGATACACTATGGGAAATGCATATTCCACAGGTGTGGGGAGGGTCACAATGCAGTGACTGCATTATATGCAACCTACCAACTGGTGCATTGATTGGGAAGGAACAATTGGATTACCAGATGACCTCATACAAGCTGATGTTCTGGACACAGGTTTTAATGTTTCTTGCTCAAACAGCCTGAAATATTATAATTGGAATTGTACCAGAGTTTACAGTTGCAACTCCAATGAAACTGAAATTCAGAGACTGGGCTCAGCATCTCAAGCTCTCAGATTACGTTATATTTGTTGAAACTATATCATACCACTCAATGACACTTGGTCTCATTTGACTAACAATGATACTGAGCCTGACATAATTTGTTCAGAACTAGGTATACCCTCATGGGGCACACAGTATGGGTTAGCAGTGATGGAACACGGTCTATTCAATTATTAATAGAGGGCTGGCAACACCAACACATTCTGGGACTATTAACACTTTGTCCCCTTTGGAGGAAGCAACCTCTTTCACTGGCTCTGTGGAGACGACTCAAAAGGGAATCAGAAAATCAATGGCAACACCTGACAGTTGGAACCATGGTGGGGTGGGTACTAGAATCAGTTTTCACACCCCAGTTGATGGTATTCCAGAAGTGAATGATGATATATAATTTTACTGGACAAATCTAAGTATTAATGCAACTCATGCAGGACTGAAGGAATTAAATTGACTAGGTTCTAATTAGAAATTAAGCCCAGCTGCATCCAGCCCCTCTGATCTCTGAGAACCAGCTGGAACCAAAGGGGCTTTAGTTTCTGCTAAATTTCTATACCCTTAATGCAATATTTAGCTTGATTTTGGACCTTTAAAATATACTGAGAGCATTATGGGTTTTGGCTTTGTTCTCTGTAGTGTTTACATATTGTCCCAAGGAGTGTCTTCAGTAAGTTTTGAGTTGTTTGGGTTTTTTTGTTGAGTTTTGTTTGGTTGGTTTTAGGGTTTTGTTTGTTTTTTGTTGATTTGATTTTATATGTATATATATTTATTTTAATATTCCATGCCACATAAGTCAGGAATAGCAATATTGACCAGAACACATCTCAAGACAGACTCCTGTAAGTCTAGACTTGGAGTGTCTTTCCAGATTGAATGACAGCACAGGTAACTACTCCAAGTTTCATGAATCACAAGGCAATTCCATTTAGGCTGCATCTCTTCAATTTGCTTTGAGAAAGCCTCCAAGACAGCATCCAAAACCTTGCTGCCGCTAAGATATACACATTAGTTCCTTCAGTCATACACTCAGTGAATTATCTTTTAGGGAAGCAAACAAGACTTACTACTGTTTTTAAAATAATTCAGTTTGTCTTTTATCGTTGTTATCTTCTATATGCTTACATACCAACTGGTTAGTGGTTTGTTCCAGTACCTTACATTTAGGAAAACAATGCTGGTGGTTACTTATTTTATTTTTTCCACTCACCTACCCACCTTTAAAATATTGGTGACATTTACCTTCAAGTTGTTTTTAATTTCCCCCTCCCTAACACAAATTCCTATAGATTTTGAGAACTTCTGAAGCAGCAGCTCAAAACTGTCTCAGTGAGTTTCTTGAACACTTTAATACAAGTGTCTTCTGACTTTACCAATTTAAATAATTCCTTTCCCGTTTCAGCCTGTGTTCTTCTCTCCATTGTACAAGTCGTATCTGGCCACAACTGACCTTTCCTGCAAAGCAGTGGTAATTGTTATAGCCCTCTGTTACTTGATCTCCTTTCCTACTCAGTAATGGAATTCTGCTTTCCTTTGTTGCTATCTTCTCATACTCTTAATGAATCTTTTCTTTTTGCCTTCTACTTCTCTCTGGTTGTGAATCAATTTCTTCCTTAAACTTTACAGTTTAGCTCTAGTGGTTTCTATAATTACCCTCAGTTGTGTAGCTACATTTCCCCTTTTTGCTTCATTCTTTTTATAGATCCTCAGGTACGTACAACCTGTTGCAATCATACTTGTTTCATATCATCCTTTCCTCCAACTCGAATTTTCTCATAAAGTAGATCAGAAATTCAATTTCACCCAACCTTAACTGAACAAGCAAACCTGAAGAAAACACTAACTTGCTTTACCTAGTACCACAATAGAGTTTACATCCCAAATATGTCATTGTTTCTTCATTATACACATGAACACCTAAATGATTTTGAAGTAATTTACCCAGTTCATCCCAGAGCTGCCTATACTTGTCAGTCATTGCAGTTCCTTGTTGTGTCCAAAGGGACAGACGAGGGTCAGCCATGAACTGTTCTGTTATCAACGTCAACATGCGAGCTCCATTTGAATCTCTCATCTTTAGCATCTCTCGCACCTAGGAAATGAGTCTTTTAATACAAACTTGAAAAAACCCCCAAACAAACCACAATACAGACAATATGCTGCAGTGTTAAACATTCCATCTCTGTTGATTAAGAAGTATAATTTATATATCTGATTTGAAATTTTTAAGTAGAAAAAAATAGTCTACCTTCCCAATTTTAACAATTTTTAGTTTCAGTATCCCATTGCAATTCTGCAAACATACGCCTTCCACAAGTAATCCACAGGTATATTATGTCATCTGCTGCAAAACCATAATTTCTACAGGTTTCTCCAACATTTTGAGGATAGGAAGGAAGAGGACAGCAACACTGCAGAGAGTTGAAATGTTACTTCATTTCCTTTAAACTAATCTCAAGACACACCAGATTGCGTTCCATTGCATTATTAACTTGCCATCATGTTCCCAGGGCTTTGTCTTGTTTTAAAACAACAGGACTTTGAGTAAGACCTGAACAAATACAGACTGGATGCGGGAGTGAGGGGAGAGAAAAGAGGGAAGTTTGAGTACACAACATACCTTTGCAAAAAGCAAATTGAGCTGCTTCCCTGATCCATGGTATCCACCCTGGGAGAGGAAGAGTTTAACCTGTTCTTGGACCTGTTCCTCATCCAAATGCCAGCAGTTTTCATCATCTATGCTGGCACCTGCTGTTGGGTCAGGAGCACCTGGAAACAGCAAGAAGATAAATTGTTATGTTCTATATAAACAAGAGAGGTTTGTGGGGCCAGGGGAAAGGAGTACTGCAAAGGTTTTTGGATTTGTGTATTGCCCCATTTTGGATGTTTTTACTTTAATCTAAAGTTCTTTAAAATAGACCTAAATTTCTCCTCAGTAGTCTTAAGCACTTAAAAATGACAGATTATGAAAAAGTATTTAAATAAAACGTATCTATAATAAAACATTAAAATCAAGGTGAGTTTTTTTCCTCCTGCCTCAGCAGTTATTCCAGAATGCTTTTACAAAGAAAATTACACTTTACATAATATTTCAACAACTGCGATGTTAAAACCTTTCTCCCCAGAACACCTACGTAATTTCTGTACCTTCAGCAATCTTGCTCAGTTTTAAGTTACTGCTAATGAGCACTGCTATTGATGAACATGAGAAAAATCACTTCAGTGCCTTTGAGCTGTGATGGCTTTGCAAAGATAAACAAAGAATAAAAAATAATCCTCAAACAAATCTAAAGTCTTTAAGTACTAAAGGCATTAACATAATAAATAAGTTACATCTGTGTAAGATTGTGGTGCTTCTGAAGGAGCATTTTTACATAGGCAATGTCATCAGCATAGAGTCAATTCAGAGCGACTCTACCTGAATTAGCCTAGTGCCAACTGAAGTGACTGGATTTACATCAGGTAGTGCTTTGACCACAGGTTGCTCTAACTCAAATTTTGCAGTTGAGATCAGTAATTTTCCACTTGTGGTCTTTTCTAAAGGCTGACAAAAATAAAAACAGTTCTTGAAGTATCCAACAATCTACATATTTCTGAAGAAGCCTGCACCTTCACTGGATATTTTTTAAAAAGTATTCTAACTGAAAAGGTTGAAAAGCATTTATCTAGACTGTCAGGGAAACATCTCATGGTATTGCATCATCATGCTCAGATGTGTGTAAAAGTCATTTTAAGCATGCCTAAGACTTAAGTTTCTTTGACATTTTGATTTTGGGCTTGTCCCAACTGTGTAATCTCTATTTCTGTTAGGTTTTGAGAAGATGTTAGAAATTGAATTTCATAACACAATTTATCACTTTTAAATCCCAGAACATGTTACCTTTGTAGCCAATACTAAAAGAAGGCTACTGACAGGGAAGATTTGTAAAAACTTGCTTTCAAAGAAGTCCTAAGAACATGAAAAGCAAAGATAGCTACAACTCTTCAGATGTACAGAAACACTGATTCTATTAATTTAAGCCTTTCTTTCACAATTTCAGTTCTGCCATGTAGGTGAATCTTAAGTGGTTGCACAGAATGATTGTCCCAGTTTAAATGAGACACAGGTGTTTTGCTGAGGATGAGTTAGGAGAAAAGACCCAAACTCCTCCTTCTAAGCAATTATAAATCTGAACTTAAGAGGCTCTGATTGAAGGAAAAAAATTATGGAAAAGGAAAAAAATCAGCCCTTTATTAAAAGGTATGTGTGTATTGGCAGAAACAACGAAGGAAAACAAGTAAAACAACCAAACAATACTCCTATACCCACAGATAATCCCCTTCAAAACAAACCAATAAACAAGCAAAGAAAAAAAGGTAAACAGTTCAGTTTACACCCTTTGGTGCAATTCTAACCACAGTCAACAGGAGGTGCCATTGGGTAACTGGAGATGCAGAGCTTGTAGTGTCCTGTGCCAGTCACCAGGGGGCTCTGCTGGATCACTGGAGATGCAGAGCCTGCAGTTCTTTATGCTGACCAGCAGGGGGTGCTGTGGAATCACTGGTCGTTGCCATGTGGGGGTAACACCCTCCGGGGTGTGTTAGAGAAACCAAAAAAAAATGGATTTCGCTCCCCTCCCCCACACACTGGGAAAGGGGAGAGAGAGAGGGGGGAGAGAAACAACAAAAAAGGTCCTCTCCAATGGGAAAAAACAAAAAAACTCACTCTGTTTGGCTTGTCAAACCATGCAGCACAGTCCTCCCTCTCCCCCTGATGTGCACAAGGACCATGGCCAGAAAAAAAAACAAACAGGAATGGGGAAGGGGAAAAACTTCCAGAAAACAACTCCTCTCTGATGAAAAATCCAAGCAGGATCCGCAGTTGGCAAGCAGGCCGAGAACAGCAGGAACCACTGAGCTTCCACTCCGACTTTGTTACTTTGTTCCAGCCTCCGCAGCCAGCCCCAAAAACTCCTCCCCCTCCCATTTCCCAGGAGACGAGAGAAAAAAGTAAAGATGAGCCCCTCATCCCCCCTGTTTCCTAGGAGATGAAGTTTTGAGCAATTAACCAGAAAGCTGCTTCTTTTGTGTTCCTTAAGTGCCCACTTAATAGCTCTGCACACAGTGGGCAGAGGAAAGGGAAAAATTCCTACTTAGTTTCTAAGAACTAGCAAAACCATGACAATTATAGAATCTTTATTCAATGAAAATACAACTGGAAGATTTAGAGAGTCAGAGGGACGTCTTGTCTATTAGTTGTTAAGAGAGTAAAAAAAAATATTCCAACTCAGCAACTTCCTAAACTGCTTCCAACATCAGAGCCTACAGCTGTGAACACTGCACTGCTGTCCACATATTTTTTTTTTAGATTAAAAAGTAATTATGTCTTTGAAGATGTGAAAGAACTCTTCTGCCTTCCATGGAAACCATAAGACTGTCTCAGAAGATGGGAATCAAGCCCAAGATGGTACAAAACCTGGAGGACACTGAGGTGACACCTCATCACAGTCTACAGCTTTCTCGTGAAGGGAAGAGGAGTGGTAGACACTGATCTCGTCTGTGTTGACCAGTGACAGAACCCAAGGGAACAGCCTGAAGTTGTGTTAGAAAAAGGTTCTTCACCCAGAGGGTGGTTGGGAACTGGAACAGGCTCCCCAAGGAAGTGGTCACAGCACCAAACCTGTCAGAGTTCAAGAAGCATTTGGACGATACTGTCAGGCATATGGTGTGACTCTTGGGAATGGTCCTGTGCAGGGCCAGGAGTTGGACTTGATGATCCTTGTGGATCCCTTCCAACTCAGCATATTCTGCAATTCTGTTGATTCTGTGAATGGGAAACTTGCCCTTCTGTGAGTGCTTCCATCTTTACTATGTTAGTTTTAAGGGGGCTTATATTCAATCAGCTACATGTATTGTGGCATTTGTGGCCAGTCTCTTCGCGAACGAAGAACCGGGGAAGGTCTTTCCACCTTCCAGCCTGCGCATTGGATTTTTTTAGGTGAGACACAGTGTGCGCGGAACTGAGCCCACCCTTTAATCCTGAGGTTCATCTGCCAGGGCCAAGCACGCTTGGACGGTGGCAGCGAGGTCCTCAGGACGTAGATGGATTGCCT